AAAAAAAAAAAAAAAAAAACTGAACTAATACTTCTTCCCGGGTTTCTTGATGGCATGAAAATAAGAATAAATACAAAATAATTAGCATAGTGCATGACAAGAGTAAATGCTCAATAAATACTCCTGCCCTTTCTTGTCATGAAATAGAGAAATCTGAAACTTGTATATGATTTGAAATGTGAAATATGAAAAACTTACTGTGTAATGAAATACTCAAAGTTACAGAACTTAAAAAGTAAGATGAATTTAACATACAACTTTTAAAAGTCAAAAATGACTTTGAGGCCACATTTGACTCTCCACTGATGCTGCTATAGACCAATAAAAGGAATACAGCACAGTCAATGTGACACAGCCAATGTGAAAACACACAATCTCTTCCTCCCAGCCATTAATACAGAGCTGTGGCAAGAGACTCCGGTTTCTTTCTCCAAGCCAGCACCCTGAGGCGGGAAACTTGGGTTGCTACTTACTGTCAGTGTCATAATTCTTACAGTGGACCAGGCAAGGGCCTGTAATACCAGCACTTTGGGAGGCTGAGGTGGAAGGATTCCTTGAGGCCAGGAGGCTGAGACCAGGCTGGGCAAAGTTAACAAGACCTTGTCTCTCAAAAAACAATGATAATAAAAATTTAACCAAGATTGATGGCCTGTATCTATAGACCCAGCTACTTAGGAAACTAAGGCAGGAGGATCACTTGAGCCCATGAGTTCAAGGCTACAGTGAGCTATGATCATGTACAGTACCCTAGCCTGGAACAGAGCAAAACCTTATCTCTAAAAAATATTTTTTAAAAAAAAATTTTTTTAATAATTCTTATAGGGAAAAGGGATGAGGTAAAGAAAAATAAATGGCTTCTGAATTTCTCATTGGCAGCAGTGATAAGGGAAACAGGTAACTTGGTGCTCACCTCCCTTTTCCCCTTTGAAAATGAAGAACAGGAAAGTGAGGTTGGAATAAAATATCAGATATATAACCATTACATCTCCTTTTTTCAACCTTAACAATGGGTTGCAAAGTTACTGATAACTGACTTATTAAAAACAGATACTGGCTGGTACAGCTGCTCAAGCCTGTAATCCTAGCACTTGGGAGGGCGGAGATGGGAGGATCACTTGAGCTCAGGAGTTTGAGAGCAGCCTGAGCAAGAGTTGAGACCCCCATCTCTACTAAAAACAGAAAAAATTAGCCAAGCAATATGATAGGTGCCTGTGGTCCATGCTATTCATGAGGCCGAGGCAGGAAGATCATTTGAACCCAGGAGTTTGAGGTTCCTGTGAACTAGGCTGAGGCCACTGGATGCTAGCCTGGGCAACAAAGACTCTGACTCAAAAATAAAAAAATACAAAAACCAAAAACCCAGACACTGTTGCATATCTGTATCATTCAAAAAACATTTATTAAAATTACAATGTTTTTACTATTTACATATACTGTACTTCAGATAACAATAATACAACGTCAAAAAGTACTGCCAAATGGCTCGGCACCTATAGCTCAACCGGCTAAGGCGCCAGCCACGTACACCTAAGGTGGCGGGTTCGAATCCCCAGCCTGGACCCGCCAAACAACAGTGACGGCTGCAACCAAAAAATAGCCGGGCGTTGTGGCGGGCACCTGTGGTCCCAGCTACTTGGGAGGCAGAGGCAGGAGACTCGCTTGAGCCCAGGAGTTGGAGGTTGCTGTGAGCTGTAATGCCATGCCACTCTACCCAGGGGGACGGCTTGAGGCTCTGTCTCAAAAAAAAAAGTACCGCCAAAAATAAAAACCATAAAACCGCTATCTCAATTTCTATTAGGTTGATATAGAATTTTAGAATCAAAGAATTCTGAGATCAGAAATGATCTCAAGTATAGTAGTCCTCCCTTATCTGCAATTTTATTTTCTGTGGTTTCAGTTACCCATGGTAGAGTACAGTTTGACATTTTGAGAGGGATCACATAATTTTTATTATAGGATATTGTTAAAATTATCCAATTTTATTCTTATTGTTGTTGTTAATCCTCTCCTGTGCCTAATTTATATCTCAAGCTTTATCATAAGTAGGTACGTAAACATAGCAAAAAACAAGGTAAAAACAGGGTCCTAAACTCTCTGTACCTTCAGGCACCCACTTGGGTGTCTTGGAATGAATCTCCCAAGGACAAGAAATGACTATTATGACTGTAGCTCAGCAGCTAGGGCGCCAGCCACATACACCAGAGAGGTGAGTTTGAATCCAGCCCAAGCCTGCCAAATGACGACGACTACAACCAAAAAATAGGTGGGTGTTGTGGCAGGTGCCTGTAGTCCCAGCTACTTGGGAGACTGAGGAAAGAGAATCACTTAAGAGTTTGAGGTTGCTGTGAACTGTGATACTACAGCACTCTACTGAGGGCAACACAGTGCCAGAAAAATAGAAGAAAAGGTATTTTCTATTCTCCAGCCATCAAAAGGTTCCTTAGTGGAAAACTTTGATTTTATTCTAAATAATGCAAAATTAGTTTGGTATGTTTACAGAGATTCACAGCATACCCCAGCCATCAAACGGGTCCTTAAGAAAAACTAATGTCGACTTGGTGCCTGTGGCTCAAGCGGCTAAGGCGCCAGCCACATACACCTAAGGTGGCGGGTTCCAATCCAGCCCAGACCCGCCAAACAACAATAATGGCTGCAACCAAAAAATACCCGGGCGTTGTGGCGGGCGCCTGTAATCCCAGCTACTTGGGAGGCTGAGGCAGGAGACTTGCTTGAGCCCAGGAGTTGGAGGTTGCTGTGAGCAGTGAAGCCAAGGCACTCTACCCAGGGGCTCAGCTTGAGGCTTTGTCTCAAAAAAAAAAAGAAAAAGAAAAGCTAATGTCCTTAGAAAGTGGAAAACTTTCAATATTATTCTAAATAATGCAAAATTAGTTTGGCATATCTACAGAGATTCACAACATATCCCAAAACAAAAATATACTGAAATTGATTGTGCTATTGATAGTCTTTATTAGTGCCCATAATTAATAGCTCGTATTTTGAACAGTACCCTAATTATCTTAATTGTGCAGTTCAATTCAACTGGTATTTTACAGAGCATAAACCAACCTGACAAAAAGTATGCTGAAATGTAATATACAAAATGTGTGATATGAATAGTGGGAGTTAAGAATCTTGGGAGCGCAAAGAAAAGTAAACCCAACACAGATTCAACCCTTAGAAAGTGGGTAAAATTAGCACAGTCACAAAACAGCACGGGTAACCACAAGGAAACAGAGAAGACTTTCTGACTCAAGACTAGAAAGTTAGACCACATCAGAAAGAGTCTGAAGACCAAGATGAGAAATAGAAAATTTCCATGTTCACCCTAACAATGAAAGAAATATTGAGGTTTCATTTCTACTTCTAAATTTCTATGATTTTAATTTCTGACCTTATTAACTAAGGAACATTTGTTGAAACATTTATTTGTTGAATATTTGATGATTTTGTTCAAGCTTTGTAAAACGAGAACATTCCTTAAAGTAATCAATTCTTTAAACTCTCCTATAGGGAGACTTCACATCTCCTTCAAACAAAATTGACTATCTTTTAGTGTTTAAAGAGAGCCTTGGTAAAAGGCTTGGGTCACACCACTTAATTGTGTTTAGTGGACACAGAATTTCAAGAGGGTCGTTTCCCAAAAATCAGAATAATGGTTCATGTTTTCATCTTCATTCTCATACCCTCATATCCCCTCTCTTTTCTCTCTGATATTACACAATAATTGCCATTTAAGACAGTTGCCAACACCGACCACAATAAACACATTTGCTCCCCCTGAGTTACCACTTAGCAGGTGCAATGAGGAAGTACTCTCTTTCTCATCCGCTAAAACCAAAAGGGCTCACCTCGCAGCTAATGAGCCACTTAATGAAAAAGAAAACCACGACGGGCACCAACTTTCTCCTTAGTGTCAAGAGGCTGCTGGCTTAACAGAACTGGCATTAAGAGCAGGATTCCCGGGCCTAGCTTTGCTCCGCGGCGCGGGGCAGCGTCAGCCGGGAATTGGTGGGTATGCCCTCCTCACCGGTGGACACCTCCCTCGCCCATAGACCTGCCAATACCGGGCTGGACCTCGTCCTGGTTTCGGTCCTGCACTTACCCCCTGCCTGCTCCCGTCCAAGTGCCAGCCCCCCTCGTCCGCCCGGAAGAAAGCTTGGGTACCCTGTAGCAAGCAGAGCCGATGAGGGGAACCCGGTGCCTCAGGCTGGAGCCGGGAGCTCCTTCCCCATCCGTGCCCGCCCACTGTGCGGCCCCAGCCATCCTCACTGCCCTGGCAAGCCAGGAGAACTCAGCCTTATCTCGGGACCTGCTCCACCTCTCGCCGCGCCGAGCCGCACCCACCTGGAGGCCGCCGGCCTTACCTTGCCGGGGCTCGGCGCGCGAGGCTCCGCCCGCTGACTGCCCACAGCGCACAGACTGGTCTCCCTAGCCCCGGGCCCACGGTTTTGCTCGGTCCCGCCGCCGGCCGCGCGCGCCCGCCTCCTTGCTACCATAGCGACAACCCCCGCCCCCTGGCAACTGCTGATTGGTCCGGCTTGGGATCGCGGAGGGCTCCGATTGGCGGGGGCGGGGACGAGGCCGTGCCCGTGAGCTTGGAGGCGGGCGGTGTGTAAAGCCGACGCCTGAGAGCTGCCGGGAGGCTAAGCCAGGAGACACGTGGCGCTCTGCGACGCGCGCGGAGGAGGCCGCGCCTCTTCCTTCCCTAGGTCTCCTGGAGAAGCCTGTGGAGCAAGACTTGGGCGGGTGAGGTTCTGTCCCGAAACTCGGGCAGAACCCCAGGTATCGCCTCCTTCCTGGCCGCTGACCCGCGCCTTGCAACGCCCACCCGGATCAGAGAAGGGCTGCCAGACCCATTCTTACCCACAGGCCTTGCTCAGATCTACCACCCTGGACCTCCACTTTGGCGGGAATCTTACTCGTACGTGTAACCGCAACCCACACCCATTATGTTGGGCCCTCGGTCCCTGAGCCTTGATTATACTTACCCCGCCTTATCTCACTCCCATCTACGGACATCTCCCGCAAAGAACTGAGGCAGCTACTCCAAACCCCTCATTTTAAAGATGAGGAAACAGGCTCAAAGATGTGCATGGGTGGCTTAAGGGTTACAGAAGCTCTTGGAGCCTCAAAGCTGTTTTCAAAGTTTGAGTCTACCAATTAGTTTTTTCAACTGAGAAAGTGGTTTTATAGTTGTTAGTGAAGATTGGATGACATAACACTAACCCAAAACAGTGCAGAACTTGTCGCATAGTAGCAATGGAAGCATCTGTTTTCAGGAAAGAATACAGGGTAGTGGTTAAGTGCACCAGTGTGGATCCAGACTACTTCTGTTGCAAAACTGGACTCTACTTGCCACTAACTCCATGAGTGGGGCAAGTTTATTTAAGTGACGTGCACCTTTGCTTCCTTGGCTGTAAAATGAAGATAATAGTTGCCTCCTACTTATAGCATAATAAATTAATAGAAAAATGGAACATTCTATGTGTTCAATAAATTTTACCCATTCTCAGGTTTGTGGCTGAGCTGGGGCTGTAATTCAGGTCTTTGGATTTCAAGACTAGTTATCTTTACTAATACCTTTAACCACATGATTAACCCAGTACCTCAAGGTTAAGTTCCTTTTGGAGGTTCAGGAGAAGAGAAGAGAACACTTGTCTATTTTCTTTAAATCAACATCTTAACCTATCTACCTTATCATGAAAGTCCAAGAACGTCGTGGCTTTGCTTCTATGGAGGCTTACTAGCAAAGGCAAATATAAGGAAAATAGTCACATCCATGGATAGATTGAAGAATAAAGGCACAAGAGAAAGAAAAGGTATTCCAGAGGTTAGGAAAACTAAATTTCAATTTTAAAAACATGGGAAATAATGTTTTTGTTTTTCATCGCTATAAATAATTTATTGTAAACTCTCTTAACAGTATACACTGATGAGCTTGACAATTCCCTCGGGGGAATTCCGAGACCAAGGAGTCAAAAGGTAGGGAGTATCATGAAAGTGTAGCCTGTGAAGACAGATTGCTAAGGGGCAAATTTCATGCATCTACTGGAGACCAATCATGGTCAGCTAAGCTATGTTGGGCAGGAAGGAGGTGGGTCACATGCCAGGAACATGAAGTTCTCCTTTGGCCAGCCCACCCTAGGTTTCCAGCCCTTTCTCCTGCTTCCTTGCCCATGGTCCTGTATGGTGCGGGAGGGGTGATAAGAAGTGGCCAAGCTTGCAGGTGCCACCAGTTAAGCATAGGGTCCCCAGACCAGTCCTTGGCTGGTGAAGGCCTCCAAGGAGTTGGGATTTCACTGCAGTATCTTCAGACAGGTTGGGACAAGGGATGAGGTCTTGCTCTTGGGGGGCTGCTCACCCTCTGAGGCATCAAGGAGCTGCCGCATATAACAGGAGATACCAAGCAGCACATGGCCTGTGGCTTGCCTGCTGAAGAGGGCCCAGTGGAGAACTTCCTTCATAATGCACTTGGCCTCATGGCAATGGAGATCAGAGGAAAGGGAGTATGTATCATAAAAAGTTGCCTTCATGTTCCAGCAGCCAACAAAGTCCTGTGGATTCAACTTGTACAGGCCAAAGGTTACGTGGGCCACATCAATCTTCTTGGCAGGCTTATGGGAGAGAGGTTAGGTTGGTACCTCAACCTCTGTTCTGATGAGGGCTGCCATTTCTGCCCCTTTGGGAAGACCATAACCTCCTGACCATATTGGAGACCGTATCATCAGACCGTATCATTGGCTCTGTATCATTAGTAACAATTGATAGTGGCAGATCAGGAGATGATACCACCCCCCAACACTGTAGAAAACACTGGACTGTAAGCACGATGAAGGCAGGAACTGTCTTTCCCACTTTTACTACCTATTATCTAATACAGATAAATACACAATGCCTGAATTAGGCCCTAAAATTTAGGATAGATCCTTTAAGGGTAAAGCCTAAGAGAGCTGGTAATAGTATATCGGGATTATTCACAGCAATCCAAGGAGAGGAATAAAACCTGAAAAATTAAAAGGCTGATTACTCCAACAAAATAATGAAAAAGATAACACTACTTTGGTGATGAGGATATTCTCAGCAATATTCAGGAGTGAAGGGAAATGAAAACAGGAGAAAAGGCAAACAATGATAAAACAACATAAAGCAAGATTAGGCATGAGAAAAGAAAAATAGCTCAGAGCAGTCTGAGCTAAGAGAGGCATGCAAAATTTATCCACCAGAGAGACAGGAGTACGGGACTTTAGTTATGCCACCTCCCTACCCCAAACCCCTAGCCATTTCCAGGGGCAATTGTTTAAAGGCATTTTTGGTTTTGTGACGAGCTGTCTCACCCAGTATTATGTTCCTGAAATGCTTGATACAAAGAACAATGTATAGCCAACCAGCAGCTCGTGTTATTTTAATGTAAGTTCTTGATAAACAACTTAGGAACTGCCTCTTCTTTTCCTTTAAAAACCCACTCATCCTGGGTGTGGTGGCATGTACCTGCAGTCCCAGCTACCCAAGAAGTTCTAAGGCTGTAGTATGCCATGCCAACCAGGTTTGGCATCAATATGGTGACCTCCTGGAGGGGGAGGGGGTGCCCCCAGTTTGCCTAAGCAGGTGTGACACAGCTGAGGTCAGAAACAGAGAAATCAAAACTTCCCGTAGTGGCTCGGTGCCTATAGCTCAACCGGCTAAGGCGCCAGCCACATACACCTAAGGTGGCAGGTTCGAATCCCCAGCCTGGACCCGCCAAACAACAATGACGGCTGCAACTAAAAAATAGCCGGGCGTTGTGGCGGGCGCCTGTGGTCCCAGCTACTTGGGAGGCGGAGGCAGGAGACTCGCTTGA